TGTGTGTGTGAGTGTGTGTGTGTGTGTGTGTTGTTGTTGTTGATAATTACTGGTCAGCATAATCAGGTAAATGAGATTAATAAAAATGAACTAGTACTCAAAAATGCTTGACATTGCTAATGTTTGCATATTCACCAGGTGCCTATTCACTTTCCATCCGTGACTGGGATGATATGAAAGGAGACCATGTCAAACATTATAAAATTCGTAAACTTGACAATGGTGGATACTATATCACCACCCGGGCCCAGTTTGAAACACTTCAGCAGCTTGTACAGCATTACTCAGGTAACCTTGATTCTAATTCCTTATTGAACGGTTGGATGCTGGAGGACATGGGTAGGCCCAGAGCTAGAGAGGGAAAGAGGAGGGAGAAAAGGTATTGCAAATAAACATAAAATCCCTGATGAAATAGTTTTCTTTGCCAGCCCTTAATAGTGATGCTGGCTGAGAGACATTATTATTTTTGTTCCACCACCGTTATTATTAGTTCCATATGTTTGTAGGAAGGTTCTATAACATTCTGGTTCCCCAAGTAGAAAACTGTTTTATTTTCTTCTTCTCCTAAATATCTTGCAAGTTCTTTTCTCACTCCCCTGATTATGTAATTCAGATTGGCAAAGAAAGGGAGCAGTCACCGGGGGGCCGGCGGGGAGGGGGGGGAACTGGGGGGGGAAGGTGGCAGAGAGAGGGAGGACAGGGAGGATTTCTGACTGGGCAAACATGGGGGTGCTGCAGAAACACACTGGGCTTCTCCCAGCACTTTCCACCCAGCACTACTGACACAAGGCTGCACTAGGATTTTATGCACCTAACGAGCTGAATCTGCAATCTATTTATCATGTTCTACTTCCTAATGAGACTTAAAGCACATGTGACCCACAGCTCTTACATCTATTACATCTATTGTGTTACATCTGCTTTTTTAAAAAGTACATTCGTTATTGTTCTGACACCCAGCTGTCACCATTATCTTGTTGCTCCTGGAAACCTAATTATTAGGTATATAGGTGTTGTAGCCTGTGCATTCTATTCGGTAATGTGGCTTTGTGTGCTAAAATGCTTTCTCTCCTTGGTCAGCAATTATATCCCATTATACAATGCATGTGCCTATGTTGATATACATATAAGTACCAATGTATAGATTTAGGTCTATGCCTCATTAAGCCCTAATGAAGGCTTTTGTATGACGCATAAATATATTTTATATTGTTCTTCACAACAGTGAAATGACTCCATAATAACACACTCATTGGAAAACATTTGTGTCTGATTTTTTAGCATAAAAAACCAATCTTTTGAAAATGACAATAGGAGCAATTGAAAAAAATTAATAACACACTGAAATAATAGTTGATTTGGGTATTTGGCTAACTTGGTTGAGGTGGAATCTAGTGAATTATTTGAGAGAAATGGGGCAGAATATCTCCCTGAGCTTACCTGATATACTCAAAATGTCTGCATGTTGTAAGAATTTTTTCAAAAGCTGAAATATGTTTTATTACAGCCAAACATCAGCAGGATCCCCAGGGTTTTGGGATCATTTGAAAATATTGTGCTGGAAAGGGCACCTTAATAACATCGTAAAGCTAGAAGGAGAGAAAGGATATGAAGAACAATAGACATTTTTTTTAATCTCAGAAAAAATCCATCTTGAGTTAGATTTGTTTTTATATTAGCTTTTGCGTTTCCCCCCCTTTCTCTCTCACACATAAAATGCCTTTGAAATATTGACACATAAATAATTTCCTGCCTAAACATCTCAGATTCTGATTCTATCAAACAAAAAAGAATAAAAAGTAAGTTATGGCTCCCTGAAAAGAAACAGTAGCATCACGCTTGCTTTCCTGGATCTGAGGGCCTTCAAGGGACATGAGGGTCTTCATCCACCTTGCAAGCCATCTGTGCAGCTTTTGTCCCTTCTCTGAGGGACACTGCTGTGTTACCTCTTCTTATCTGACTGATTCTTGACTTGACATTTAGTCCATTTTTCCCTACCTTTTCTAGATTCTAATAGGTATATTCTTTTTTGTAAAAACAATACAGGGAGTGAGAAAAGCTTCCCCTTAACCTCCAAATGATAACTATTTTCTCTGATTTTTCACATCAAGTTTATGCAAATGTTAGTTTCTTTTTTTCTTTTTATTCAGACTTCTAACAAGAAGGTTTTTTTAATGGAAAAGAACAAAGATGCAATACAAGTATATATGACTAGATAACAGAATCAGAATAACAAAGCAATTACTAGAAAAATATGGCATGTGTCCTCCCCCCCCCATCACCACCAGATGTAATCTTCAATCTTACTAGGGCATGACAGTTCAGTGTTCTGTGAAAGCACCTTGTACGACAGTTACAATTTCATACATCCTTATACCAAAGCAATCTCCTATCCTCTAAATAACAGAGGAGAAAAGGGATAGTCGTGCTGACGTTCTTTGGTACATACCTGCTTTTTTTAAGTTCAGTGAGGGTGCTTCCAGGATTCCACAGAACATATTATTCGCATATTAGACTAAAAATGATTTTCTTAGTACTTAAACAAAATCAGTCTATTTATACTATGATGGAGTCCACGGACTATATCATACCTAGGGATACAGAGTATTCTAAACTTAAAATGTCTCCTATCTCACTTCCAAAGAGTGTTTTGTTGCACTATGTCAAATCTTCAAGGTGTGTGTAGGTGTCTGATGCAGCACTGTCTGAGTATTGCTACACCACAACAAGCGTGGGGCTGCACCTGTGTGTGTTGTTGTTGTTACATGTGTTCTGCTCTTCTCTCCCTCTCTCTCGCTGCTGCCCTTGCTCCATCAGAGAGAGCCGCAGGTCTCTGCTGCCGCCTAGTTGTTCCCTGCCACAAAGGGATGCCAAGACTTACTGATCTGTCTGTCAAAACCAAAGATGTCTGGGAAATCCCTCGAGAATCCCTGCAGTTGATCAAGAGACTGGGAAATGGGCAGTTTGGGGAAGTATGGATGGGTATGCTGAGACTCAGTTATTCTATTATTAAGGTCTTCGTTTGGGAATCCCAAACATCAAAGATGGAAGGTGAAAATAAACGTTTTGCGTATAGAAAGTGTGAATTCTGCCTATGGGAAATAATCAGTTTTATTTTGACTTCAAAATTCTGCAGTGTGCAATATTAAGTGAGGAAGATTGACAGAGGGCTCAGATTATACTGTGACATGAACCTCAGTTTGTAAATCAATACATGGAACAAGTAATGTTCCAGCCTTCATAAAATGTCTTGCCATTCATTGCCAGCTGCAAATATTTGTTGAATGTCGCCCCAAAGGGCAAGTCACCTTCCATCTTTTCTAGTGCATGCATGATTATGGATTGTAAGGACTGTGTTTTCTTTATTAATTCCCTTTCCCATAGAGAAAGCTGATGGTTTGTGTTTTAACTTAACTGTGATTTCATCAAGTTGTGCTCCACAAACTTCTGGATTGTCTAAAGATGCTTGGGAAGTTGCACGTCACTCGTTGTGTCTGGAGAAGAAGCTGGGGCAGGGTTGTTTTGCTGAAGTGTGGCTTGGTAAGGCAGAGGGCACATTTTCTGTTTGGGCTGCATCTCAAAGCCAATTCAAAGGACAATTCTGAATGCATACACAGCCATTGGACAAGACTCTTAACCTGGATAAGTAGATGGGCACAGGCCATCGAGGTTTCAGAAATGGTAACTGTTCTATTTCATGTGGTTATTTAAGTACCTGCAGAATTGGAAACCCAAACACTACCAATGTGGTATGTTTTCTTCATAAGAAACAGGAAAGTAAAATACTCTGTATGGACAGCCATAGAGAAAGACTATGAGTGTTTTGCTTACCAGGCCTGGGACTGAATCCTTAACAACCAATTAACAATAAACAAGGGATTTTTTTTAAAAAAAGTATTTATTTAACATCTTTAAGCTTCAGTCTTCTCATCTGTAAAACTGGAAGGAAACTGCTCCATAGGATTGTTTGAGGATTAGATGGGACTAGTCTCTAGCAGAAGTATATATCCAGGAGACATGTTCACTTCTCTTTATTTGGTTGTTTGATAAGGCCAAATGTACTGGCCTTTGAAATTACTTTTATATCCCCTTTGGGTCTGTTGCAGCTTTGTACAAAGACAACCCATGAACTTAGGTCCCACCTACAAACCTCTGCCAGTAGCAAGACAATAATAAAGCTTATCAACTCTCCCTTTCTCCTTTCTTAGAGTGCATTTAAGACAATATAGAAAGGTAACTGTGGCTGTGTGTGGGCATAGGTCTTCAGATGTGAAGAGCATTAAAAGAGTGTATACAGTTGAAATGCAAGCAGAGCGTGGCAAATAGTAAACACTACACAGATTTATGTAGGTAGATGGATGCAGAGATAATAGAAATCCACTCAAATATATCTATACATTATTATTACTATTATAGATCAAGTATTTAATATATATTCATATGACCTCCTTCCCTTTTATCCACTCAATCAATAATTGAATTGTAGGTAGTAAGGATGTCAATCAAATCACACAATAGAATCAGACGTTGTAAGACCAACTTTTTTTTCTTTTTTTTTGTCGGTCATTGGGCTCTGTCCCTGTGTTCTTCAGCTCAAGGTGAGCACTCTATCACTTGAGCCACAGCACCACTTCCGGTTTTCTGGTGGTTTATTGGAGATAAGAGTCTCTCGGCCTTTCCTGCCCGGGCTGGCTTTGAACTGTGATCCTCAGATCTCAGCCTCCTGAGTAGCTAGGATTACAGACATGTTCCACCAGTGCCCGGCTTCTAAGACCAACTTTGAATTATGGCACAGTCCACTGAAATTTTATTTCCCATGGAACATAAAAACATCAGCCTTAGCTCATGCCATCAGCATCGAGATGGATGCCTTCACGGTTACCAGACTGTTAGTAGAGGGGAAGATCTCACTATTTAAATTTTGGGGGTACAAACGCTTAAATCACAAAGTGCTAGCTCGCTCCAACCAGCAGATTCCAAGATGACAGATGAAGAAATACCCATACAGTGATCATTCATATCTCAGAATTTTTAATATTAAATAACTAATAATCCAATACCACCAGGAGGCAAGGAATGAGTTAACCCATAGATATGGTTAAGCCTAAGATGTCTTCTCCAACTCCCACTTTTATTGGTTCAGACTGGCCCAGGGCTAATGTAAGGGAGCTACAGGAAAAAATAGATAAAAGGGCACATTTGAAGAGGTAGATGATAAAAAAAAAATCAAGAAGCACTTAAACAGTTTCAGTATAGGATCCAGGAATTTCCTCACTAAGTTAAGTATATTCAGGGACTTCTGTTGTCTTTTGACAGGAATTAATGCAAAAGATTAAGCACTCATAATTTTGTGACTGCAGGCATGCAACCAGGGTTTTCTAGTGGTGTCATTTACAATTCAAGCACACCTTTACATCTCCTACAGCCAGTCACAGTCCCCACAGGGCTCAAGGATTTCCACAACAAAGAACACTTGCAAATTGTCAAATTTCCCATTTACATTTACAATATTTTATGAGATATAAATGAACTCTTCTTTAAACCACTGGTTCTTTCGAATTTATGCTGTTTATAGGTCACATGTAATTATATAAAATATATTTTAACAGGATAACAAAAACTGCTCCAATTTTAAAGAATTCTTAGGTACTAAAATGATTTTTTTTACCCTGCCTTCCCTTTCAAATAGAAAATCATGTAATCTAAATTGACAGATTTTTCTTTTTCCCTTTATAAAACTATCCTTCAAAGTCATAGGATTAACAATAGAATGCACATTAAACCCAGCGGGATTTTTTTGTTGTTGTTTTGTTTTGTTTTTGTCAGTCATGGGGTTTGAACTTGGGACCTGGGTGCTGACTCTGAGTTATTTTGCTCAAGACTAGCACTCTACCATTTGAACCACAGCTCCATTTCTGGTTTTCTGGTGGTTATTTGGAGATAAGAGTCTCATGGCCTTTCCTGCCCAGACTGGCTTTGAAGTGTGATATTGAGATCTGAGCCTCCAGAGTAGCTAGTAGACGTGAGCCATCAGCACCTGGCTTTACTTTGCTTTTAAATTTGGGAATCAAAAGAGACTGAGAGAGAATGCAGTTCCATTCCTATATTTTACAGATGAGGTAACTGATCATGATCATAAATTGGGCCTTGCCTTTGGATCATCTAGACATATTAACGTGTGAAGCTGAAATATTCTTAACCTGTCATAGCTGCTATTTCATTTCCTCAGCCCACCTAATAGAAGCTATTGTTCTTGTGGCTGGTCCTCAGGAAGCCTGAGGAATGTGCCTTACCTGAGGGAGACACAAACTCCTTGCTGGTGCTTATCTGCATACTTAGTTCACCTCTTCAAGGACACAGTCAAGTAACTTAATCATTTCGCAGACATTTCAAAGCCTCAAGTCAATTTCCCAGGCATCATCAAGATGTTGGCATATTTTTTAAGTAGCAAACTCCATAAAATAGAACTTAGTCTGATTTTTCCCTGGCTCATTCTATGACTTAAGGATGGTTATGCAATCACCAGCCCTTTTCCAGGTCCTGTGGACAAGGATCTAAAGCTTTGGGCATCAATTTGAAGCCATATGATAAACCAGAAAAAGAAGGTCATATGTATTGAATAGGACAAAAATCAAAGGAATAATTGGACATATCCATAAGTAAACTCACTTTTAATATTGAAATACTTGACAGAGTCCTTGCAATTGACTCTCTCTGTTCATAAAACCATATTCTATTTTTTAAAACCTAAAACCTAACTTTGTGCAAATAGCTGCTGATGAAAATTTTCTTCCCATGGAAAGAATATCTTTGATTTGACTTTAATGTTGTGGGCTGTTTATAGGTACCTGGAACGGAAACACAAAAGTAGCCATAAAGACTCTTAAACCAGGCACGATGTCCCCTGAATCGTTCCTTGAGGAAGCACAGATCATGAAGAAGTTGAAGCATGACAAGTTGGTGCAGCTCTATGCGGTGGTGTCTGAGGAGCCCATCTACATTGTCACTGAGTATATGAATAAAGGTTGGGCAACACTGCTCCCTTCACCTCACAGTGCCTGACAGGGTGTTTCAGAGAAACATATGGAATTGCCTGCTTGCTTTTTTTCCCTTGATTTTTGCATGAGTCAGAGAGTCCCATCAGGGAGTGTCATGTGGACACACTAATGGAAATCCTTGTAAAACAGACAAATGTTGCATTTACCCCCCAAATCCTTGTGAAATATAATGTCCTTTTCCTGTTGCACATGTCAGGAATGTTCCTCTTCATAATTTAAATACTCAGTATCAGAGGTGACACAGAGAGTTGTGATACCCTGCTGTGATTTGAATACAGTAACTTCTGTTAAAATTTATTTTTGTATGACTGAACAATTAACAGCAGATACTGGTCTCTGAGCTAAATTTAGTCCTCCTCATTGCAACACCTCCCCCAACAGACACAGACTCTCTTCTTAAATATCGAATGAAGAAATAACATGTATTTTATCTCCCCCCCCCATCAGTGTGTGCACATAATGAATGTGCATGTGTGCATCTTTAAATCAAACCAATATTGTTGGGGATTGGGCCAGAGATTATTTTGTTTTGGGAAAACAGATGAACCAAACAAGAAACAGCCTTATAAGGCAATGGATTGCACATCAGAGAACACCAATGTAATTTTTCTCTTCCACATATTTTCTTTTAAGATATAATTGGAATTTTTTTCTTGGCAGATTGTTTGCCCTTTGTATCCAAGGTTATATTGTAAATAAGTTTGTGATTAAAGCATTTTTTAAAAAAAATCTGTGATGGCCATCATGAGCCTGCAACTTCTGCAAATGATTATTTCTGCCTTGGTGCTAGTTCCAAGTCTCCTCACTCAGCTTTATGAAGTGGCTCTCAAGGACTATCTATTCTGCTTCAGATGTCTGACTCAAATCTTGGCTGGCTGTGATCTAATTAAGGGAGGTGCTTGCCTACCCATATTCCTCTGATATGTCATTTTTTTTCTTTGATTAAAAATCTGTAGATAATCTAAGCTGAATGAGTCACAATCTTTGCCTGGTGCTAAAATCACCTGGAGGTCTTCTGAAGGCACAGGTTTAGGGACCTGACCTTTAGTGTTTGGGACTCAGTAGATCTGAGATGGGGACCTATGAATTTGCATTTCTTGTTAAGTTCCCTAGTGATGCTATTACAGCTGCTTTTTGAGGACCTCATCTTTGGACTTTTTTACTGGGCTGTATATTTAACCCTTTACACAGGGATGATTAAGGAACGAGATTAAAAGGTGATAATTTCTCATGTCTTCATCTTTGTGACTTAGAGCAGATTGAATTCCATTCCTCTTGTTTTAGCAAAATTTTGCTATTATCCTTAAAAATGAAATTAAGGCTGTTTATTTTCAAGAGGTAAAATTTGCTTCTCAAGGCATAGAATGTTTCATGTTTTCTAGGTTAGCTTTCTTTTTTTCTTAAACCTGGTTTTGAGGTGGGGGTTGGAGGTGTAGCTCAGTAGTAGATCATCTGCCTGCCCTCAGTTCAACTAACAAACGAAACAAACCAACCAACAAAAAACAAATCCTGTTTTTTTTTTTCCTTTGATATAATCATTCTAGTAAGTTTCCTAACACAGGGGCGGCCATGGGTTATGCATACCTGTGATTCTCAACTACTTAACAAGTAAAGGTGAGAGGATCATAGGCTTCAGCTGGCTCAGACCCAAAAAGAAACACAAGCCGTATGTGAAAAACACTAAAAGAAAAAGGACTAGGAATGTTGTTAAAATGGTAGAGCAAGCAAGAGGTCCTGAGTTCAAGCCCCAGCAGTGTTAAAAGATAACCAAACCCAGCCATCTGCTGGAAATTTTTGTCTTTCAAAATAATTGAAATTGTTTCATGCTTCATTCATAGGAAGTTTACTTGATTTCTTAAAAGATGGAGAAGGAAGAGCCCTGAAATTACCAAATCTTGTTGACATGGCAGCACAGGTAGGTCCCAGAGTCCTTTGATTTTTGCCCTGCATGTGGTGCCATGTAAATCCATCAAGTCATTGTGTAACATGCCTGTCTTCTTTCCTGGATTTGCACAGGTTGCTGCAGGAATGGCTTACATTGAGCGCATGAATTACATCCACAGAGATCTGCGGTCAGCAAACATTTTGGTAGGGAATGGACTAATTTGCAAGATTGCTGACTTTGGACTGGCCCGGCTGATTGAAGACAATGAGTACACAGCAAGGCAAGGTGAGCACTTGAGCAATGATGGCTCATGATGGCATCTTTGCTAATAGCTGCTGCACCTTTTTCTCCTTACCTTCCCACTGAAAAATAGTAGAAACATCCTTCAGCAGCGTATTCTGCTCTTTGTTCTGGCAGGAGTTTAACAGCTCTGCTGTAGTGGGTCCAGTCGATGGATGAGATGATTTTCAGCATGTAGGGTGTGCACTCCTGACAGCATTTAGGCCTAGGATACTGAACTTTGGGAGAAGGAAGACTCTAGAATCTGAAGAAATCTATCAAGTAATAACTCATTTTTCACTTAATCATGGTCCCAGCAGAAAACAGGGTGCACACTCAAAATGAAAAGGGGCACAGAGGAGTCTTTTACAAAGCAATCGGCAAGGCATTTGAAAAAGAGAAGAACAGGGCAGAGTATAGTGACTGAGACCTCTTAGAAGCAGTGGAGCTGAGACTTGAAAAGCAAAGAGCAGGGAGTAGGCAGCAGAAGCCAGTGAGGAGGGTTTCCTGGTAGAAAGGCTACAGCAATACATGAGGGGGAGAGTTAATACACACCTCACTCTGCAGCTGGCCATCAGGTCTTCTGCCTTGCTATCCCAGCCAGAAGCCCGAAGTGTCCATTGCAGAGCCCTCAAGAGTCCAGAGCAGAGAGAAGAAGGATAGAGAGAAGATCTAAGGGACTGTTACCTAACAGTGTCGTCCCTCAAAAACTCCTGCTTTTTTTCCTCATCTGTCTCCACCCCAGCCCCTACAAAGGTTCATTGAAATAATAAGTATAATATATTTACACACCAAACCCGCAGCCAGTCCATTAGGGACACTTTTGAGGAGTTCCTACAACAAGGAATAGTTCTGGGGGGTAGTCTTCTTTCCTGTATATTCATACAGTACCACGAGGTCAATTTGTGGGGTGAAGTAGACTGTAGTCAAGTGTAGACTCTTGTGTAGATACTAATGCTTGCAACTGAGGAGAGGGGAAAGTTTCACTGGTGTTGGTAACCCAAGCATGGTCATTCCAAATCAGATTGAGCAGTAACTGACTGGAATATATTATAGGGTAGTGTTTCTACTAATTTCATAGTGGCCATATCTACAGTTATTTTCCTTCTCCTCCTCCTCCTCCTGTAAATTCTCCATTTCCTGCTATTCTTTCTTCCTTTTATCTAACTTGAGTGATGAAGGAAAATGTTAAACTAAAACACTGGCCAGTACAGATACTTTCTGGAAGCTAAATTATGTGTTGGTCAGACATCTAGCTATTTGAATATCCCCAACATGTGGCAGTTGTTGTCCTGGAGCCAAATGCCTGGACAGTGAGCACACTTGCATGCACACGCTCACATATACACACACAGAAGCAGATGGCATGCCGTATCTCTAATCAAAGGCACACTTTGATTGGCACTGGCAGTGGAGAAAGGAATGTGGGTGTGATTTTGAGGCCAGGTCTGAGACCTGGCCCTGAATGCACCCCCCAGCTCTGGAAGGAAAGTGAGTGAAGGTTGTAAGACCTGAATATTTGATTTAGGAAAGGGTTCCAGTAGAGCCAGGTTTTCTTTTTGTTTTCTTTTGTTTTGTTTTACCAGACTTCAGACTCTGGAATTTGCAGTTAACACCCTTGAACTATCTAGTAAATGAGTGGCAGGCCAGAAGCCCCCATAGTGGGGGCTGTGGCAGGGACTGTTGACAGGTTTGGTTCTTAGTTACACGTCATTTATTGGGGTTGAGGTGTTTTAGGCAGGCGTCCTGAGTGAGTCGCATCCCTCACTAGCCTGCTCTAATGTCAGCTGCCACAGACCTCAGCCCTGGCTCTGCAGCCCTGCTTGGCAGTTCTCTGTCCTAACAGCCTTTCTGCCAGCTTCTATGGTCACGCCCCCAGCGGCTGTCTGAATTCCTTTCAAAGGACCCGCCTCAGACCCTTTGTTCTGCATTTCCTTTATTTGATAACCAAATAGAAGATTCCATTCTTCTCTCAGAACATTTTTTTCTTCTTTTTTCCTTTCCCAAACATCTTCAAATGCGTGCCAGATACAGGAAAGAGATAAGTAAAGTAAATTAAATGCACTGAACAAATAGGAGGGCATGATAATGTAGAACAAAACCTGCAGAGCCCTAGGATTTCCAAAGAAATGAAATGATGCTTTGCAACAGAGCACAAGGAAAGTGCCATTTGGCAAGGGTCGGAGGTGGGAGGTGGGAGGTAATACCCCCAGCCTGTGAGGGGGAAGGGACAGATTCAGTACGAAGGAAGCAATAGGAATAGACTGCAAGTGATAGTGTCTTGTACACAGCTACTAAATAGCAAGCCCAGAATTTGAATCTAAGTACAGCCTGGCTTACTGCTTTTACCCTCTCTTAAGCTATTCAGTCTCTTTCAAGAGTGATTGAAAGAACAGAAAGTAAATATAGAGAGGATTAGCCAGAAGTCTCCTTTCCCCTTTATTTTATAGGAAAGTTTTAGAGGGCACCTTCTAATGTCTATGTACTTGAGGATTTCAGACTTTGATCTTCCTGCTCTGGGACAACCCAGCTGTTTGTGAAATTCCTCCCAAGTATCTTCCCTGCCTTGGCTTCTTCACAAAGCAGGAAGGGCCTGGCATGTATCCGCTGGTGCACTCTGCAGATGGCATTCAGGCTACATGCTGAAGTTTCTACAGGGGATTAATCAGCTCCTTCAGACAGCTGGTCCATGTGCCTAATAATATTTGCAAGTTGGGTTTTATGTTACCCATGGGCCACAGCTATGCCACATCTTGATTATGACAGTACAGGCAGTGTTCAGAAACACATGCCAAACACAGATATTTTAAGACCATGAATGACAATTGTTGGCAAAACAGTTGTGCATTTCTCATCTCAGGATGCTCTGAAATGTCTGTCACCCCCTGAGCAGTGAGGTATGATTGTACAGGGCACAGGCACACTTAGGATTGGAGCTGTCCAATTGGTCTGTTCCTTCATATGTTCATTTCCTCCTACCATCTCCATCTTACTTCCGCTCTCCCACCTCCACCTATCCCTGAGCTGTAAGCAGAAGCCCCATGTCAGAGGGGAAGTCAAGACCAGACCCAGCACTGGTAGCTCATGCCACCAGCTATTCAGGAGGCTGATATCTAAGGATCAGGGTTTAAAGGTAGCCCAGTCAGGAAAGTCCATAAGACTCTTATCTCCAATTTGCCAGCACAAAAAAAGAAAGAAAGAAAAAAAAGAATAAAAAGGAAGTAGAGATGTGGCTGATATGTTAGAGTGCCAGCCTTGAGTGGAAAAAAGCCAAGTGAGAATATGAGGCTCTCAGTTCAATCCCCAGTACCAGCTTTTTAAGAAAAGGAAGAAGCCTAAAACCATACAGGGGTAGTCATCAAGCAAAGGGAGGGACAAATGAAGTTAGGCAGAACAGGTCTACTGACCTGGAGCTATTTAATTTTTCCTATTTCAGATTGCTTATCCGTAAGAAGGGAAGGCATCTTACTTGCTTGTGCATGTTTTTTTTTTTACAATTAAGTGAAACAATGGGTATACATGTTTAACTTGGGGTCCAGCTCATAAAGAGGTAAATCAATGTTATTACTGTTATGCGTGAGTTGCCGATGCAATGGAAAGGCTCAAGTGCTATTCAGGAACAGGAAAGAGGAGTCAAAGACTTCCCAAGCAGATAACTATAGGTCATCATTCATTGGAATGGAAATACCAACAGCATGTTGGAATGAGAGCTGACGTTCAGAGGAGGAGAATGAAGTTGGTTTGGGGTTTGTCGAGTTGAAGGTGGCTGTGGTGGTGCCTCCAAGCCCAGAGAGGCCAAGTGAGGTGTTATTGCTATAGCTGTCCTCTCCACCCTCTGGCCCTCCCTTTGTATCACCTGCACCCCCACTCAAGATTGGCTCATAGTCCCTTCTCTACCAGGATTCCCAGAATCCTTCCAGAGATAATCACAGCCCCACATGGACCCTTGACACGCAAGTGTCTTCCACACGTGTTGTCTTCATGCACCACACCTGTCCTGTGACTACCAGCCAACATGTTGCTTCCTGAGACTCACAGCTCCTCCAGCCATCAGTTCCTTCACAGAATACATGAGAAAAGGTGGAATAATTCTCCACAGACTTGTAGTTGTTTTTTGTTTTTATTCCTTTCATGGGCTTTCAAGTAGCCAAATGCTGACTAATGTTGCTTTAAACATATCAAATCCAGATAGAGCAGACTTGGTTCAGTGGAAATGTTCTTGTTTTTTTATTAAGCCATAACATACAGTAAAATGAACAGATCTGAAGTGGGCAACTCGGTGCATTTTTTTGTATGTGTATGTATATACCTGAAGTTACCCCCACAGAGGAAGACAGACGCCAAAACACCCCCTCATTCCTAACCTTGTCAGTCATAGCCCCAGAGGGAGTCACTGTTTCCCTTTCTTGTTGTACATTAATAGCATGAATAGTAGAATATTGTATAATATAGTATATGTGGAAGAGTAGAGTTTTGGTAGCATGAATAGTAGATTATTGCTTTTGTCTGGCTTCTTTCTCATCAGTGTGTCTGTAGATTCATCTATTATTGAGTATAGCAATACTTCTTGCCTTCTCATGACTGACTAATATTCTACCACAAATGGATCATAACTAGCCTGTCCTGTTGTTAGGGACAATTACAGATAATTTCCATCATCCATTGAGGCTATTATGAATAAAGCTGCTGTGGTGGTTAACATACACTCTCCTGTCTATGGAATTGCTACAATTGGAAATGCTGGTCACCAGGAGGGCCTAGGTTAGCAATGGTCACTGCCTCCACAGATTTGGTGAAGGGAGAATTGTTACTGTGTCATTTATTGGTGTTGCCCCTTGCAAGCATGGTATCCTCTGACATATGACTGAACGTTTGTGAGCTTCATTTTTTATCATCTCTAAAATGGAAGTAATAAAAAAAGATTACCTCAGATAATTAGTGTGAGAGTTAAATGAGCCATCTGTAAAGAATTTTTGAAGGGGTTATAAAAAAAATTGTGTGTGTGT